TTCTTTATGTTTATGTCAATCTGGCATGCACTTCTGCACACTTTTGATGCAATAAAAAATTTCACCGTATACCACCTTTAAAATCAGATTTTATTGAAATTTCTTTGAATTTCAGCGATTTTTGACCCGGGAAAATGCTGGAAATAGATCGAAAAGTCCCAAAATTTGAGTAGAAAATTGAAATTTTTCGGCCAAAAACGCTTTCTAACCCGGTTTTAAGCTGAAAATTTGCATTTTTGCTGTTTTTTGACCTGGAAAATGCTGAAATTGACAAGAAATGAGAAATTTTCAGGCTGAAACACGGAAATTTCAGACAAAATTCAAATTGGGGTGTCTTTGGCGCGTTTTCTTGTATTCTCAGGGCACATTTTTCGCCAAATATTTGAATGAAAATTGAGACAAAAATTCGAAATTTGCACTTAAAGGTGGGGGGGGGGGACAGGAGATTTTTCGTAGTTTTTTTGCAGCTAGAGTATGCATTCTACCGTCACGGTGTACAACGCTTAATGTCACTCTGCGTACAACTGTCGTCCTCGCCTTTATGAATGCAATCGGGCGCCGGCTGCCTCTTTGCCCGCGTGGCTCAGTCGGTAGCGGCGCCGCACCTTCAATACTTGTCTCGACAAGTTCAACTCATCGAGGGGCACATTTAAACGGAATTTTAGAACATTTTTTTTTTTCATGTCCCCCCACCTTTAAATATGGTTTCGAAAGTGTTTTTTACAAAAATTTCAGAACAAATCCTTAATTTTTGGCTTCAAAATTCCAATTTCCTCCGCATTTTCTCTACTGAATCACAGCGAAAAATCGAAATTCTTTATACTTGTGAAATTCCGGGCCGGTCCGCCAAAGCCCGGGCCTGAGGCAATTTTCAAAGCCCGGGCCAGGTTCGGAAGGCCCGGTATCAAAAGTTTTGTGTTTTTGAGCCAAATTTTGAGCTCTTAATATAATTTTTCCAATTTTTTTTTGTATTGTTTGTCTGTTTGATCAAAAAAGATAGAAAAAACTCGAAAAAAAATCACATAAGGGCCCCCCCCCTTATGTGTTTTTTGAAATTTTAAAAACTTGTGAGATGACGGGCCCGCCGGTCCTCCGAAACTCGGAAAAAAGCGCGGCCCGGCCCGTTACAAGTATGAAATTCTTCTTTTAATATCACGAAAAATTGAAATTCACTGATTTTCGTTCATTTTGTAAATTTTGACTGGAATTTTGAAATTTAAACAATTTTTAAAATTTTCAAATCCTCAGAGAATGAAAAACGACAAAAAATACGAAATTCGCCGACTTTTAAGCACAAATCTCGAGCTTTTCACTTCAAAAGTATGTAATGCGAAAATTTTGTGTGCAGTGGAGCACATTTCCATAAACTTACGCATATGAGAAATCTAGACCAATTAAGATAGATTTTCAGGAATTTTTTCTGAAAATTTCAGCCTGAATTTCGTGTTTTTAGCAAAAAATGGGAATTTTTGAAGGCTAATTTTTTTTTTGAATTTGGCGCCTTTTTGATTTCATCTCCTAGAAAGTGAGTATATATCTTCAGTCGAAAAAACAGCTAGAGAAACTTCTAGAAAGCCTAAATTAGTTACCTTGGACTCATCTCCCAACTCGATCAAATCAGCGACCTTCATCACTTCAGCCATAATGAAACCCTTTTCGAAATCCGTATGAATTCTTCCAGCGGCCTTTGGTGCCGGCGTTCCCACTTGAATCGTCCACGCCTTCACCTCATCCTCTCCGGCAGTGAAGAAATATTCCAACTGAAGTGCCTTATATCCAGTATGGACGATTTTATCCAAATTCGAAGTGACTCCTTGCTCCTTCAAGTACTTGGCTCGCTCGTCTTCTGGCATATCGAGCAATTTCAGCTCAAATGCTCCAGAGAATGGGATCAAGACGGCTCCAGCGTCATTCTGATCAATCCATGCTTTGATCTTTGGCAACCACTTGTTCTTTTTCCGAATGTAGTCTTTTTCAGAGAGGTTTACCAGGTAGACGATTGGTTTCGCCGTCAGGAAGAGGTACTTATTCAGAATCTCAATTTCCTTCTCGTTCCAAATTTCCTGACGAACCGGTTTCTTCTCCTCCAAACACTTTTTGACGCGGACCAGAGTGTCGTACTCGATCTTCTTGGTTTTGTCGTTGGCACGGGTGTAGAGCTTCTCGACTTTGTCCAGTGGGGACTCGATGAATTGGAGGTCTTTGGCGAAGAGCTCGTTACTGATGATTTCCAAATCACGCACTGGCTCAACTTCTCCTGCAAATTAGCATACTTTAGCATGGGAAATTCAACAAACTTGAAAAGGGCCCCGTTTCTTTCAGCATCAATATTTTCAGACCAACTGAAATAGATATGATAGAACTCAACGAGTACTACAGAATGATATTATTTGGAATACTGTATCTTGTCTATGAACATAGTTACAAGCCAAAAAAAGAGCTAGGCGCGGTCTCGTGGCTTGTAACTCTGTTTCTAGACAAGATACACTATCCTAAATACTATAATTTTGTAGTACTCGAAATCTATCATAACTGATTAAGCTGGTATGGCAGCGCCCGTTTTAAAGTATAATTATAATAGCAGAGTGGTTTTCTTTGAGCTGAATTATCTTAATTCCTGTGAAAAATATCAGAAATCTACCAGTTACAAAAATGTTGGTGATAAACATTTTTTTGTTGAAAAACTTTTGGTATTTTGCGCAGAAGCCAAGGAAATCTAGCTCAAGCTTGACAACGTGGGGGCTCTTCTGTTAGAGGTTTTACGGAAAGTACATAGCCTTCACGGTCAACTACAAGCTCGTTACCTTCAACGTGAGTAACATCATCGTCATCGAAAGCACGGCACAAATGGAAGAGGGCGTCACAAGCGGAGACGTGGGACAGGAAGGCGTTTCCGAGTCCCTGTCCTTCAGAAGCTCCCTTCACCAAACCGGCGATATCGGTGACATTCAGGAAAGCTGGCACTTTTGACGCTGGTTTGTAGTGGTTCACCAGCCAATCGAAACGGTCGTCTTGGACGGCGACCTGGAAATGAATCAGTTTGAGGGGGATGGCTTTTGATAGAAAAAGCTCATTTTCGGTATTTTTCTTGTACAAAATGTCGCAGGTGTGGAAGAGAATCGCCGATGGCTGTGGCCAAAGGTTCCACAACGACAACTACCGTAAACAAGAAATATCTTCATTTTCAGAATTTTTCTTCTTGATTTTCACTGCTTTTAGTCGAGTTTTCCGCTATTGTTTCTAGCCAAAAAAGGTCGGAAAATACAACATTTTTACTGGAAACAGACAAAAATCGAGATAATAAATTAGTGATTTTCAGGGTTACCGTAGTTGTCGTTGTGGGACCTCCGGCCATGGTCACCGGCGTTTTCCTTCCACAGCGATGAAAAACCACTCGAAATCTCATTTATGGATCAAAGAAACTCGATTTTTAGGAAAAATTTTCAGCCGAAAACCCAAAAAATAGGGCTTCCCTAACAATAGAATTCTAAGATATTTTTCAAACATATTCAGAAAAAAATACCAAAAATCGTTGTTTTTTTCGTTTAGAAACGGTTATTTTGTGAAAAATCTACAGTTTTCCGAATTTTCAAGTCAAAAATGAAAAATGGGGTTTCAGAAGATTTTCGACAGAATTCTGGCGAACAAACACTTGTTTTTGGCATTTTGGCTAGATTTATAAGCTTTTTGGGTATTTTAAGCGTATTTTCGCCGTTTTCAACCCCCCGAAAACTAATATTTTCTGACTCACTCTGCTCTCATTGGGATCAATGGTGCAGAATGGGAAATTCTCAGCTTGCGCCTCGGACTTTGTGAGCACATTGAAGAATGTACTCTTTCCAACGTTCGGAAGACCCAGAATTCCGACTTTCAAGTTGGTTCCCAACCGTCCGATCAGCGCCGGCTTCTCCTCGACGGCGTTCTTCTTTGGCGGCATCTCTAGTTTCCCTGGATAATTGGTTTTTAGGCTTCTAAACGAAACAAGCAATAAAAAAAATAAGAAAATCTGGTTGGAAACCAACATATGAACCAAGGAATTCAGGAAGTCTCGATTCAAAATGTTTATTCAGATTCGAAAAGTTCAGAAGATCGGCTGTAGAATATAATGAAAATTCCACTAACCCAGAGAGGAAGAGAGATTCGATAAATTATAAATTAAAAAGAACAGGATGGTCGGGAAAAAAATACAAGATCAGTGATGGAGAAATGATAGAAACATGCTGGAAACGTATACAAGCTATTAATATGGACGTCCTCCTGGTGGTCCTCCATATCCTGGCTGCATCGCCGACATTCCTGGTCCTCCGTGACCGCGCATGGCTCCAGAGAGACCGCCTGGTGGTCCGCCTGGTGGCATTCCTGGCATTCCTGGCATCGCTGGCATTCCACGGCCTCCTGGCTTGGCTTGTCCGACTCCACCGGCTCCTCCGGCCTTCGCCAACCGAACCGAGTCGTCGTCTCTTGGTGGTGGTCCGTCGACGGTCATCGAGACGATGTGTTCTCCACGAAGAAGCACGAGACCCAGAATTCGCTTCTCTTCACCATCGGCCTGGAATAAAACATATTTATTCAGTCAATTCATTAAAATCTCTTTTTTTTCCGCTCAAAAACTTCATTTTTAGTTACAAACCTTCTTTCCGGCCTTTGGCTTGATCTGTCTGTGCTCTTCGCACTCTGCGAGCAAAATGTTCATGTGCTTGTCGAAGGCCTTGAAGAATCCGACGAATGTTCTGCCGTCCTGAAGGATGATCTTCATCCGATAGTTCAGATGAGCCATCATCTTGTTATTCTTCGAGATGGTCATCTTGAGTTCTTTTGGTCGCTGTTTTTCGTAACAAGGACCTGAAAAATGCGAGATTGGAGTCGGAAATGAGCGAAAAATGGGAAAATTGAGAAAAAATAGGTAAGAGATCATAATATAAGCAAAAAAGACGATTGGGGTAAGGGAAATGCTTGTTAAATCTGAAAATACAGCTATCGAACTAAAAAAAACGTCGGAAAATGTATTTTTTGTAAAAATTATAATATTTTTTGTGAAAAGCGATAGAATTGGGTCAAAATGGGTAAAAAACTTTGAAATTACTGAGTATTCAGCAATAAATTAAAACGGAGAACACGTTTATTCGATAATTATCTAGTTTCCTGCACCAAAACACCTTAAAATCTTCAAAAATCGATAAAACCTGATTTTATTCATAAATCTTCGAAAAAATCGATTTTTCGACCCAATTTTTCGTCAATTTTCGTTTAATATACAATTTAAACACTCTAGAATCCATTTTTTACTAACTTTCAACAAAAAAAAATCCATGAAAAACGGTTAAAATCGAAGAAAAAAGTCGAAAAACCCGCAGAAGCACTGAAAGAAAATTCGAAAATCCAGCGCGCGCTGCGAGACCCAAATGCAATAAATGCATGCGCCTTTAAACACTTTTACGCGGGAGTTTAAATGGGTGAGGTGGAAATTGAATTAAAAAAGGGGAACAAGAAGGGAAAAAGAGGAAGATAAATCATTTCAAACAAAAATAACCGATGCAAGAGTCACAGGACGAAAATTCATACATACACAAGCAATATGTTGTGTTGGATCAAGTGAGAAAATCGGGGAAAATCGATAAAAACGGAATTTTTAAAGATCGGAAAAATAAAATTTCAGACATTTGTAGTTTTCGATATCGATCAGCCGAAGAATGCGTGTCAAAAGTTGAGATTGAATCGTCTCGCCGGTGTTGGACCGATTTATTGGAGATTTCAGGTTATTTTTGCCGGAATTTTCCAGAAATTTGTCTGAAATTCTGAAAATTCCAGACAAACGCTCCAACTCGTTATATCGTGAGCCCAAATCACGGAATAATGCGTGACGATGATCCGGTGGAAGTGACAATCACTCTCTATCAAAATCGTTTCCGCCCGAGACATGAGATTTTTCTTCAAGCCGCGCCAGTTTCAGAAAATGGCAATTTCGATCCGAAAGTTTGTTTTTAGCTTGAAAATATCAATTTTGCGTTTTAAAATTGAGAAAATCACACAAAAATACCCCTAGAACGGTCAAAATTCGGTGGGAAACGCGATCCAATCGAAAAATCGCAGCTGGCCGAGTTTTGGGTTTCTAGGCCATCTGATACAAAATTTGTGAAATTTTTTCGATTTGTGAATTTAATTTGAACTGCAAAAATTACAGTAAGACAGTGAAAATGAAACAGAAACAAAATGAAACAGCTGGAAAATCCAAAAAGTTTCTGGTGGCCGAGTTTGGGATTCCTTGGCCACCTAGACTAATTTTTAAGAATTTTCCGAATTTCAAGGGGTTTCCAAGCACTAAAATTTTGAAAATTACAACAAAAAAGGAGTAAAAATGAGTGAAAAACGAAGAAAATTTAAAAAAACGGAAAAAAATCGAATGACCGAGTTTTGGTTTTCTAGGCCACCTAGCCGAAATTTGTGAAACTTAGGTTTTTTAAAACGTTCACATTACCTATTTATTAGAAAAGAAAACTACAGAAAAATAGGGAAAAATAAGCGGAAATAAAAAAAAATCGCATGGCCGAGTTTTGGTTTTCTAGGCCACCTAGACTAAAATTTTACCGATTCTCTTAGTTTTTGGGGTTTCGCAAACCAAAAAAATCATTTTCAGACTGTTTTTGGGACAAAAATAACTTAAAAATAGCGAAAAATCCAAAATACTGAAAAAAATTCTGGTGGCCGAGTTTTGGTTTTCTAGGCCAGCTAGCGGAAAGTTTCGAAAACTTCATAATTCTTTTCAAAATTTTATATAATCTATTTATGAAAAACTGTAAGAACATTAGGAAAAATTCAAAAAAAAAAATTCACATGGCCGGGGTCTGGTTTTCTAGGCCACCGACATTTCTAGGCCACCTAGACTAAATTTTTTCCGATTCTCATAGTTTTGGGGCTTACAAACACCTAGATTTCATTTCTAGTCCATTTTCGAGACGACGGAAACCGCACAAGTGACCTATTTGGACCTTGGGACTACTGTAATGAAAATTGAGTCGGCTCTAGAATCTTCGAAATCCACAACTGATCTTCATCAAGCATTGGATGCATCTGCTTCGGTTGGCGCTGATCGTGTAGATCAGCTACAGTGTCAGTGAAGCGCATTTGCCATTGCCGCGAATTTTGAATTTTTGGGTTTTCAGCGATTCTAAATTTGACCCAGTATGATACAGAGCAATTGGTAACAAATATAAATCAAGCGAAGCAATTGAAAATTACGCTGGACGCCCAGTTAGAGGAAAGGTTCGGTGGAGCGCAATTGCTGAAGGCGCGAAATTCGAATTTTAAATTTTTATAGAAAACGATCGGTGGAAGAGTACAAATCGCGTTTGAACATGCTTGAAGGGAGTTATATGAGAAAGAGTGCAGAGGTAAAATTTTTTTTAAATTTTCAAAAAATTTAAAGAACACATTTTCAGGTGCAACGTCTTCAGAATGAGCTTCTGAACCAGCAGAAAATGCTGGCGATGAAGGCGTCGACGGCGGCTCAGAATCAGAAGAATCCGGGGAACTGTTCTATTTCTTAGAGAAAAATGAATTTTTTGAATTTCTGAATTTCTGAATTTTTGAATTCTTCAATTTTTCATTTTTTTTTTTTGAATTTTTTTGAATTTTCGATTTTTGAATTCATGAGTCTATGAATTATTGAATTCCAGAATTTCTGAATTTAAAAAATTTGAATTTTTGAATTTTTTTGGGGCTTCGTAGTATCTGTAGTCTTTGTGGTCTTTGTAGTCTTTGTAGTCTTTGTAGTCTTCGTAGTCTTTGTGGTCTTTGTAGTCTTTATAGTCTTCGTAGTCTATGTATTCTTTGTGGTCTTTGTAGTCTTTGTAGTCTTTTTAGTCTTTGTAGTCTTTGTAGTCTTATTACCCGTTAAAGTCTTTCCACCTAAAAATCCACATTATCCACATAAACTTCATTGGATTTCAAAAAATACTGAAAATTCAAAATTTCCCGCCAATTTTGAGATTTTTGCATTAAAAGGTTCCAATCGTTCTAATAGACAAAATGCCTCCGCCACCGCCAAAAGTACTAACAGTTCCAGCGAAAAATGAAACAGTTGGGCATGATGTGGTAAGACAAGACTACAAAGACTACAAAGACTACAGAAGAGAAATTTTGAGATTTCTGGAATTCTGAGATTCCAAGATTCCAAAATTCCGAAATTCCGAAATTCTGAAATTCTGAAATTCTGAACTTCTGAAATTCCGAAATTTTGAAATTCTGAAATTCGAAGATTCCGACATTCTGAAATCCTAAAATTCTAAAATTCTAAAATTCTAAAATTCTAAAATTCTGAAATTCTAAAATTCTAAAATTCTAAAATTCTAAAATTCTGAAATTCGAAAATTCTGAAATTCCGAAATTCTGAAATTCCAAGATTCTGAAATTCTGAGATTCTGAGATTCTGAAATTTTGAAATTCTTAAATTCTTAAATTCTGACTGCAAAGTCTACAAAAACTACAAAAACTACAAAGACTACAAAGACTACAAAATTTGCAGTGTAAATGGTTGCAATCCGTAATCGATCGTCTGAAATGGTGGAGCCCTGGAAATTGCCAGAAGCTATTTCTCGAAACTGAGCTCATTGAGTTGTGCTATCGAGCACGTGAGCAATTCTGGAAGAGTCCTGTGAAATTGGATGTGGGTCCCTCTTTTTTTGGGTTGGGAAAAAGCTTTTTTTTGAATTTTTGTTTTTGATTTGTTTCTTGTGAAGAATCTTGTTTTGAAATGATTGTCATCAGCTTCTAGAAATTTGGGAAATTCAAAAAAATTTCTGAAAATTCTGAAATTTTCAGATCGAGGCACCTGTGAACATTTGTGGAGATATCCATGGACAATTTGAGGATTTGTTGGCCATGTTTGAACTGATGCATCCACCACCGACTAATAAGTAATACGGGGGCTTTGAACTTTTGAATTTTTGAATTTTTGAATTTTTGAATTTTTGAATTTTTGAATTTTTGAATTTTTGAATTTTTGAATTTTTGAATTTTTGAATTTTTGAATTTTCGAATTTTTGAATTTTTGAATTTTTGAATTTTCGAATTTTTGAATTTCTGAATATCTGAATTTCTGAATTTCTGACTTTCTGAATTTCTGGATTTCTGAATTTATGAATTTCTGGATTTCTGAATTTCTGAATTTCTGAATTTCTGAATTTCTGCATTTCTGAATTTCTGAATTTCTGAATTTTCTAATTTCTGAATTCCTGAATTTCTGAATTTCTGAATTTCTGAATTTCTGAATTTCTGAATATCTGAATTTCTGACTTTCTGAATTTTGAATTTTTTGTAATTTTTGAATTTCTGAACTTCTGAATTTCTGAATTTCTGAATTTCTGAATTTCTGCATTTCTGAATTTCTGAATTTCTGAATTTTCTAATTTCTGAATTCCTGAATTTCTGAATTTCTGAATTTCTGAATTTCTGAATTTCTGACTTTCTGAATTTTGAATTTTTTGTAATTTTTGAATTTCTGAACTTCTGAATTTCTGAATTTCTGAATTTCTGGATTTCTGAATTTCTGAATTTCTGAATATCTGAATTTCTGACTTTCTGAATTTTGAATTTTTTGTAATTTTTGAATTTCTGAACTTCTGAATTTCTGAATTTCTGAATTTCTGAATTTCTGAATTTCTGAATTTATGAATTTATGAATTTCTGAATTTCTGAATTTTCTAATTTCTGAATTCCTGAATTTCTGAATTTCTGAATTTCTGAATATCTGAATTTCTGACTTTCTGAATTTTGAATTTTTTGTAATTTTTGAATTTCTGAACTTCTGAATTTCTGAATTTCTGAATTTCTGAATTTCTGCATTTCTGAATTTCTGAATTTCTGAATTTTCTAATTTCTGAATTCCTGAATTTCTGAATTTCTGAATTTCTGAATTTCTGAATTTCTGACTTTCTGAATTTTGAATTTTTTGTAATTTTTGAATTTCTGAACTTCTGAATTTCTGAATTTCTGAATTTCTGGATTTCTGAATTTCTGAATTTCTGAATATCTGAATTTCTGACTTTCTGAATTTTGAATTTTTTGTAATTTTTGAATTTCTGAACTTCTGAATTTCTGAATTTCTGAATTTCTGGATTTCTGAATTTCTGAATTTCTGAATTTATGAATTTATGAATTTCTGAATTTCTGAATTTTCTAATTTCTGAATTCCTGAATTTCTGAATTTCTGAATTTCTGAATATCTGAATTTCTGACTTTCTGAATTTTGAATTTTTTGTAATTTTTGAATTTCTGAACTTCTGAATTTCTGAATTTCTGAATTTCTGGATTTCTGAATTTCTGAATTTCTGAATTTATGAATTTCTGGATTTATGAATTTCTGAATTTTTGAATTTCTGATTTTCTGAATTTCTGAATTTCTGAATTTCTGAATTTCTGAATTTCTGAATTTCTGAATATCTGAATTTCTGAATTTCTGACTTTCTGAATTTCTGAATTTATGAATTTATGAATTTCTGGATTTATGAATTTCTGAATTTTTGAATTTCTGATTTTCTGAATTTCTGAATTTCTGAATATCTGAATTTCTGAATTTCTGACTTTCTGATTTTCTGAATTTCTGAATTTCTGAATTTCTGAATTTCTGAATATCTGAATTTCTGAATTTCTGACTTTCTGAATTTCTGAATTTCTGAATTTCTGAATTTCTGAATATCTGAATTTCTGAATTTCTGAATTTCTGAATTTCTGAATTTCTGAATATCTGAATTTCTGAATTTCTGACTTTCTGAATTTCTGAATTTCTGAATTTATGAATTTCTGACTTTCTGAATTTCTGAATTTCTGAATATCTGAATTTCTGAATTTCTGACTTTCTGAATTTCTGAATTTATGAATTTATGAATTTCTGGATTTATGAATTTCTGAATTTTTGAATTTCTGATTTTCTGAATTTCTGAATTTCTGAATATCTGAATTTCTGAATTTCTGACTTTCTGATTTTCTGAATTTCTGAATTTCTGAATTTCTGAATTTCTGAATTTCTGAATTTCTGAATATCTGAATTTCTGAATTTCTGACTTTCCGAATTTCTGAATTTACGCAATCCATGAATTTCTGGATTTATGAATTTCCGAATTTTTGAA